CTGCTGATGAGAAAAGGTATTTAGCAGTTTATATTTACTAAAATAACTGCATTTCCATGTTCTGTGTACTGTGGGAGACCAGATAGAGTGAATGCAGGATCCTGGGTTTAGTAACACTTTAATATCTTTGCAATGTGCATAGATCACCCAGAGGGAATTTTTTTTTTCCTTAACAAAAGTGGAGCTGCTTTTTTACGTTAAGATTGCTCAAATAGATATTACAACAGTGAAAATTTCTATACGAGTGTTAATTGTCTCCTTGTCTATAGCTTACCCGGATGACCGCTGCAATAGGTCACAAGTAACATTCTCAACTTTTGGTGAGCACATAAAACACAGACATCTCTTATAAGGTCTTCTGACAGTGACTGGCTTTTCAGCTTAGTTTGAAGCATCATCTTTTAGAAGCCAAGTTGTGAGCCAAGCTAAAGTTCAGCACGACACATTACATGGTAGGGAGCGCTCATATGATTGTATGTAAAACTTATTTGTAATGCTCTTTAATGTAGATACTGTGTTAAAGTGTCCTTACATGAAGGGCTTGTTTAATAGAAGTGCAAATTTCCCTTTGTCTTTTGAACACAGCTATGCAAATAATTCCTGAATCCTTTTTGGTTTGATGATTTATTAAAGACACCCATGTTGTATGAAAGACTTACATACAGCAGGGTGTTTGTGGCTGCCGTTTCTTCTTGGTTGGATGTAGCGGTATGTCATTTGGATGCAGAGTCCATGAAGTCTGCTTTGATAGACACAACAGGTATCTCATTATTCTAGATATACTTACACAACTTGTCTGTGCTGAGCTTATCATCCATATGCCCCAGTTTTCCAACCAGGGTAGAAATATTCATGCAGCAATATATGACTATTGGTGCACGATGCTTTTATCTGTCATTACAATTTTATTCTTTGACTCTATGCCACAGATTACGTGAGTTAATATTTACTTTCTTGCTGTAATTGCTAGAGTTCCTGCTGCTAATTCTAAACCAATGGCATTATCAAAGCAGGTTATCATTAGTGAAAAGATCTGTAAACATATTTAATGTCAGGTTACATTACAGTTTGAGGGAACAGTAGAAAGAGATCCAGAAAACTGGTAACAAAAAAGGCATCCTAAGCCCTAGGCCTGTTGTGTGCTATAATCCTATCTGCGCGCTACATAGCATCAGCAAGTCTGTGGCTCTGAATGCAGATTTATTTTTCAGTTGTTGTTGCATTATATAATTTGTCCATAACATTAATGTATGTCTATAAAATGGATGTAAAAACAAACAACACTACTGTCTATCCTTTCAAACAATTAAAATGTCCTATATATTTCAAAATGCTGACCAAGACGACATCATAAGCACCTTTATTCTCTGACTGAATAGATAAAAAAAGTTCTAATTGCTAGACTATGCAATGTCTGCAGAAGATAACTGGTTTTGTTACTGAACTTTGTGTTTTGCCATTATGGCAGGGGGGAGGATTTGATCCAGGAAAAAAATTGGAACAACAGCACACTGGCCTAGCGTATTATCCCAGATAATAATTTATTGAATGAAAGTTGAAATATACTCACAAACAAGAAATGACAAATTGCATTTTTCCCTGTATCCAAGATGACAGTGCCAGGGTTCTGAAGTTCAACAAAGAACCAACCTGGGTGAAGACAGCCCTGGACAGGTAAGTGTTTTTTTTGTTATGTCAGGCTGACTTTTAACAAAAAGACACTTACCTGTCCATGGCTGTCTTCACCCAGGTCGGGTTCTTTGTTGAGCTTCAGATCCCTGGTGCTGTCATCTTGGATGCAGGAAGAAATGCAATTTGTCACTTCTTGTTTGTGAGTAAATTTCAAGTTTAATTTAATAAATTGTTATCTGGGATAATGTGCTAGGCCAGTGCACTCTTGTTCCATTTTTTCCTGCAGTCGTACACAGGAGCAGCAAGGCTTGGCTTATCCGCACGAATTTCGCATTTATTTGGGCTCCACCATACCTCCCTGTCTTCAACCCTCTACACTCATGCGCAGGAGGTTTATTTGTTTGTCTTTGGGAGGATTTGATGGTCTGTAGGAATCATGAGCAGTGTAGCTTTGTACGTGAAACTGTAGTGGCAGAAATGAGTCTTGTAAGAACAGATACAGCACCTATCAATTAAATAAAGAATTGAGAACTGTATCTGAACCCCACAATCCAAAAGTGCTATTTAATTTATTTGTAATATTTAAAGCAAACTCCCCCATCCATCCATGTCTCCATGCTTTATTGTGCTGAGAAATCACTTATGAAAACACCCCCTAGCATTTCTGTCTGTGGCCATCTTGAGTAAGGGCACTTGATTCATGTAACATTTACTTCCTGGATTCCATCTGCCCTTAGCTCAGGCATGCAGACGGGAAGGTGTGCTTAGCTGAAAAAACTCCTTCCCTGCTGGAGACTCCTGGGATGTATGACATTATCTGCCTAGGCATGGAAACCTGGAAGCAACTAAACACATGTAAAAAAAAAGCGTTTTTTAAAACAAGTAAACATGTTATCCCTTCCAATCTATTTACTAATGCTAGCCGCATTAGGATTCAAAATAGCCGATTGATGAAGTGAAGTTCCACTTTAATGTGAAAATTATTGTTAAAACTGTTGTTACCTGTAAAAGAAGGCAGTAAATATTCACCTTTCCCTATGCCTATCCTGTCAAACACCACTACTATCATTAGAATTGGTCCCCCAAGATCTGTTGGGAAATGAACACATAATGTCAGTTTCCCAAAGGACTAGTTTTAGTAATTGGAGCAGTGTTTAGAATGGACATGGGGAAAGGTGAGTATTTACTGCCGAGGCAGAGCTTAATGAGGCACGCGTCCAGAGGGGAGGATTCCTTCTGCACTAGCCTCATCCCTACCTGTGTGAGCATCAGAGCTGTCAGCCGGACACCACAATATTGGTGAGCCATGGGAGTTTCCCCACTCTGAGTATCGATGTTCTGCCTTTACATTTAGCTATTCTTGTAACTGTGGTTTTATCTTTCTAATAAAGCAGCCCAGAACCACATACAGAGAGCACTATTTGTCTTGTTTTTTTTGTATCATTTTTATGGGCTGTAATTAGTTGTTCTGAAGCTGTTTGCTAGAAGCAAAAATCAACATCAGAGTTCCAGCTGCCTTCCTGGCTGTTAAACAGAAAAATATGTGATCAGACCTGTATAACCTAAGGCTCCATGCACACTAGCTTTTTATTTAAATTTAGAAAATGCTGGATAAAAAACACTGGTAATAAAATTTTAAGAGCGTTCAGATGCATTTAGGAGCTTTAACATTTTTGCAGTACATGTAGAGGAAAAAAAAAGCATGAAAAAGCTATTAGGAGCGTTGTAGTAGCATTTAGCAGTGTTTAGGAGCATTTAACCTTTTTTTCTGCTGGACAAAACTCAACAAAACATTTTTTTTTCTGCTCCTAGATGCTGAAGCTCAAAAAATGCTAACAGCCTAAAGTAGTGTGCATGGACACATAGGATAACACTATTTAGTTTCTAGGAGCAGTAAAAAATATGCTGATAAAAGCTTCTAGAAGCTTGAAAAAACAATAGTGTGCATGGAGCCTTCAAGTCTATAATATCAGGAGCCATCTTTTGCTCTTTGGTGGTGAAGCTTTTCCATTGGCATAGACTAACGCTTGGATGGATTATTTACAATTGGTTGACTATATATATATATATATATATATATATATTATATATATATATACACACAAACACACAATATTGTCTCTCCAAATCATTGGATCCAGGTGTTCCAATTACCTCCATGGCCAAAGGTGTATAAAATCAAACACCTGGGAATGCAGACTGCTTCTACAAACATTTTTGAAAGAATGGGTCGCTCTAAGGAGCTCAATGAATTCAAGCATGGTACCATGATAGGTTGCCACATGTAAAATAAGTACTTCCGTGAAATTTCTTGCTACTAAATATTCCACGGTCAACTGTTAGTGGTGTTATAACAAAATGGAAGTAACTAGGAACATCAGTAACTCAGCCACGAAGTGGTAGGCCACGTAAAATGACAGAGTGGGGTCAGCGTGTGCTGAAGCGTACAGTGTGCAGAAGTCGCTAACTGTCTGCAGAGTCAATAGGTAAAGATCTCCAAACTTCGTGTGACCTTCAGATTAGCACAACAACAGTGCGTAGAGAGCTTCATGGAATGGGTTTCCATGGCCAAGCAGCTGCATCCAAGCCTTACCTCACCAAGTGCAATGCAAAGCGTTGGATGCAGTGGTGTAAAGCACGCTGCCACTGGACTCTAGAGCAGTGGAGACGTGTTCTTTGGAGTGACGAATAACGCTTCTCTGTCTGGCAATCCGATGGGCGTGTCTGGGTTTGGTGGTTGCCAGGAGAACGGTACTTGCCTGACTACATTGTGCCAAGTGTAAAGTTTGGTGGAGGGGGGGATTATGGTGTGGGGTTGTTTTTTAGGGATTGGGCTTGGCCCCTTAGTTCCAGTGAAGGGAACTCCTAGGCATCAGCATACCAAGACATTTTGGACAATGTCATGTTCCCAACTTTGTGGGAACAGTTTAGAGATGGCCCTTTCCTGTTCCAACATGACTACACACCAGTGCACAAGGCAAAGTCCATAATGACATGAATGAGCGAGTTTGGGGTGGAGGAACTTGACTGGCCTGCACAGAGTCCTGACCTCAACCCGATAGAACACCTTTGGGATGAATTAGAGAGCGGAGACTGCAGTGCCTGACCTCACAAATGCGGTTCTGGAAGAATGGTCAAACATTCCCATAGACACACACCTAAACCTTGTGGACAGCCTTCCCAGAAGAGCTGAAGCTGTTATAGCTGCAAAGGGCGGGCCAAATTAATATTGAACCCTGCAGACTAAGACTGGGATGCCACTAATGTTCATGTGCGTGTAAAGGCAGGCGTCCAATACTTTTGGCAATATAGCATGTGTATATATTGTGGCAGTGCGGTGTCCTGCCACGGTCAAAATGAAGCTGAAAACCCTGGATTTTCAACCAGGCAGGTTGAGGGGCTCCAGAGAGTTGATGTATTGCAGAGGAAACTGGCTTTTCAGTTTCCTCATATATTCATAAAGGTGTCCTTTTTAAGTCTGATTTGGATTTCAGCTATTCTCTGGTCATTGTTTATGACACTCAGGAGATCATGTCAGCCCTTCGCTGGAGATCTGTGTTCTCCCTCCAGATTCTCCAGAGAGCTGGAGAATCAGAGGGACCGAAAACTAAGCAGTGATAATTTACCTCTGTTTAGTAAACTGATCTTTTACTATAATCTCGAGAGATTATAGTAAAATGAGGCGTTTTCCAGAGTTTGTAGACCGTTCTCCAGCCCCTCCCTTCGTTTGGAGAACTGCTTCATAAAGGTGTGGAGAACTGTGCCTTCTCCGAGAATGCCGGAGAACTGAGCAGCGATCTATTACCGCTGGCATAAACGGACACCTAAGTCTGTTTTGGGCTGGACAGGAGATTTCAAAGAGATCTGGGAGGGATGAAATCTCCAATCCGGGGTCCGTGTTTTGAGAACCCCCAGCACACTGATTGCACAGGTGTGTGCAGGCCTTTTTATAGAGTCCTAACCATAGTTCTGGGCTCCACCCCGGCAGACAGGAGTCAGGAGGGCTCCACCCCGGCAGACAGGAGTCAGGAGGGCTCCACCCGGCAGATAGGAGTCAGGAGGGCACTGCCTGGAAGTGAGGTGGGCTCCACCTAGGAGAGGTGGAAGCCAGACTAGCTGTGTGCTAGTGGCCATAATTTGGGAAGAGTCTGCAGGAGACAGATAGCGAACTGTGTACAAGCCAGGAGGCTGAATCTTTGTTGGTATTGCTTGATGGTGGATACCCCTGCGTGGGAAGCATTTTTGTTGAACTTTTTCTTTAAGGTAAAATTGGGCAAAAAGGCCCTTAAAAAGAAGCGAGTTGCTGTGTGCTTTGAAGAGCTCTACCATTTTGAAGCGAGTTCCCACAATATATATATATTTATTTATGTACATCAAAATTTACACTTTGGACTAGATTTGCACCTTGGGGTGTTTTGTTAGCGTGGCACTTTTGGTAATGTATAATTAAAGAGTAACTCCAACTTTGTTGAAAAAAAATTCACCTCTGGATGTACATTGCAGGGATTTTAAAACTTTGTAGCAGACTTTTACTTTTGTTACTCTGAAGAAATAGCTGTTTGTTCACCATATATTTTGCACTCTGAATCTGAATGGGTGGTTCTGGTTCATTATAATTAACTGGTGCACTCCAATGTTTTATTGGAAAAAGCTGCATCCCTTGAGAAGTATATAACTCTTCGGGAGTATCTCATTAAAACTGAAATTTCGAATGCAGGGGGTGCCTAAAATGTGAATTCTACCTTAGTGCAGACTTCTTGGAAAATTATCAAGCCAATCGCACAACTAAGAAATTACATTTCTGGGGGCATTCTGTTGATCAACTATGTAAAGAACGCCTCCAGATTGCCATGTTGCATTAAATCTTACAGAAAATTACAGCAGCTAAAGATTGAAAAGCAATTTTATATATATAAAATCCATCTAATTCCACCAAAAAAAAGTATAAATAAATAAATAGAAAAAACCCTATATAAAGCATGGTTCAATTTGCTCCAGTGGGGGAATAATAAATTACTTCATGATCCCTCAGAAGGCAACCAGATATTACCTAGATCAACAAATCCTGGTGTTATTACCTATAATTTTAATATTCTGTTATATTGTATGTATCTAGTGAGCTAACCAGATCTAGTTCTTGAGGGAGCCTATTCCAAATTTTTTCAGCTTTTGCTGTGAAGAAGCCTTTCCGTATCTGGAGGTTAAATCTCTTTTCCTCCTTATTGTTGACATTAAAGTGACTAACTCTACACAGAGTTCACTATATGGATCACGTACAGTTGTGTTCAAAATAATAGCAGTGTATTGAAAAAAGTGAATAAAGCTCAAAATCCTTCTAATAGCTTTTATTTCCATACACACAAAAGCATTGGGAACACTACACATTCTATTCCAAATCAAAACATGAAGAAAAATATATCAAATTTGTGTTGTTCCTCTAAAACAATTGAAGAAAAGTGAATATTAGACTGTTCAAAAAAATAGCAGTGTTTGTATTCTTCTTTACAAACTCAAACATTCACTATATAAAAAATGAAAAATCACTGAAAAATGTTTGAAGATTTTGCTTTCCTTTGAATCACTTAATTAATATTTAGTTGTATAACCACTGTTTCGGAGAACTGCTGTACATCTGTGTTGCATGGAGTCAACCAACTTCTGGCACCTGTGAACAGGTATTCCAGCCCAGGATGATTGGACTACATTCCACAGTTCTTCTCTATTTCTTGGTTTTGCCTCAGAAACTGCATTTTTGATGTCACCCCACAGTTTTCTATTGGATTTAGATCCGGGGATTGGGCTGGCCACTCCATAACGTCAATCTTGTTGGTCTGGAACCAAGATTTTGCACGTTTACTGGTGTGTTTGGGGTCGTTGTCTTGTTGGAACACCCATTTCAAGGGCATTTCCTCTTCAACATAAGGCAGCATGACCTCTTCAAGTATTCTGATGTATTCAAACTGATCCATGATCCCTGGTATGCGATAAATAGGCCCAACACCATAGTATGAGAAACATCCCCATATCATGATGCTTGCACCACCATGCTTCACTGTCTTCACAGTGTACTGTGGCTTGAATTCAGTGTTTGGGGGTCATCTTACAAACTGTCTCCGGCCACTAGACTCAAAAAGAACAATCTTACTTTCATCAGTCCACAAAATATTGCGTCATTTCTCTTTAGGCCAGTCAATGTGCTCTTTGGCAAATTGTAACCTCTGCAGCACATTTTTTTTTTCAACAGTGGGACTTTGCGGGGGCTTCTTGCAGATAGCTTGGCTTCACATAGGCGTCTTCTAATTGTAACAGTACTCACATGTTACTTTAGACCTTCTTTGATCTTCCTGGAGCTGATTGTTGGCTGAGTCCTTGCCATTTTGGCTATTCTTCTATCCATTCGAATGGTAGTTTTTCGCTTTATTCCACGTCTTTCAGGTTTTGGTTGCCACTTTAAAGCATTTGCAATCATTTTAGCTGAGCAGCCTATCTTTTTCTGCACTTCTTTATATGTTTTCCCCTCTCCAATCAACTTTTTAATCAGGGTACGCTGTTCTTCTGAACAATGTCTGAAAGGACCTATTTTCCTCAGAATTTCAGAGAGAAATGCACTGTAACCAGCATGTACAACATTTGCTGCCTTCCTTCCTTAAATAAGGGCAATAATTGGCACCTGTTTTTCAAAGAATGAATGACCTCACTAATAGAACTCCACACTGCTATTATTTTGAACATGCTCCTTTCAATTAGTGATTCAATTACACAGAATCAGCAGCATGCATGTCATAACTGTTGGGTCTGTTGGATTTCTATTACTCTACTACACCTGCTAGTAAATTATTTGCCATGTAGAAATATCATTTCTACCGAAAACAGTGATTGATCAGGTTAGTGATGTCTGACTGCTATTATTTTGAACACAACTGTATGTATATATATACGTGGTGGTCATATTCCCCCTTAATCACCTTTTTTCAGAAAAGAATATATTCAATTCAGCTAATCTTTCCTCATAGCTGAGCTGAGCCTTCATGTCTCTTATCAGCCTGGTTGCCCTTCTCTGCACTCTCATATCCAATATCCCATTCCCAATATAATTTTTATGAACTGGTGCCCATATTCCAGATGAGGTTTTACTAATGATTTGTACATGGGCAAAATTATGTCCCTCTGTCTGAAGTCTACCTCTTTCAACACATGAAAGCATTTTGCATGCTTTAATAATGTTGTTTAGCAAGGAACATACATTCCACATTAATAATCATGCTACAAAAATTAGGGTGTGCTGTAAATTACCTCTAGCATTGCTCCTGTTTCTTCTTGCTGGTCCCAGAGCCCCTAAGCAGCAGTAGATCTTTAGGTTGTCAGTAGATCAGCCTCTACATTTTTGGCACAGTGCCGAAAAATAGAGAGCAACTGACAGTGTATTACTGGATTTTAAACAGTTTAGGCGATTATTTTTAATGTTTTACATAGCTATACCTGCAAAAGGGGCCATCCTGAAGTGATCCAGCAAGACTTAATTTTCTGCCTAATGTTTTACTTTACGGTTTTCTTGTAAGTTGGAGACATTCTGCAAGGGACTTCATTCACTACACATATTGGTGTCATCTGCAAACACAGAAATGGTAAATGCAAACTCTATATCATTATAAATAGAGCAAAAAGTAAGGGTCCCAACACTGAACCTTGGGGTACACCACTAATAACCTTAGACCTTTCAGAGTATGAATCATTATTCACTGGTCTCTGAACACGATATTTTAGCCCACTTTCTACCCATTTACAAATGACATTTTCTAAGCCTGTAGACACATTACACATTAGCTGTGTGTGGGGAACTGTGTCAAACGCTTTTGCAGTGACTGTATTTACAACCACTCCTTTGTCTAAACTTTCCTTATAAAAAGAATGAAGACTTTTTTTTTACAAAGTCAGTCTTTTTGTGAATCCATGCTGTCTATTGCTTTAAATATTGTTTTGTTTCTAGGAAATACTCTATGTGGTCTTTTATCAAATTCTCAAATATCTCCTTGACTATGGAAGGTAAATTAACTAGTCTGTAGTTACTAGATAAAGACTCTGATCCCTGTTTAAGTATAGGCACCACATTGACCTTGTTTCAATCTTGTGGAAGCAAGTCAGTAAATTAAGGAGTCTCTAAAAATCTTTAACAATGGCTTTTAAATAAGCTCACAATTTTTTCTTGGAAACACTGTTTGCTAATGCATGTTGGGAACTATATGTTTCACCATGAAGTGCTATTCTTTCTTACTATACACTGTAATTTCAACTTTTGTATACGACAGGTCAGTGACGACAATTTCTATTACTGTATATGGGTATTGTTTCTGCCTTTTTTGTTTTCTTTTTGTCAGCTTATCATTCCCTGGGTCATTGACCTATGTATACTATTATTTACCTCCGATTGCAGAGAACCATGTTTATGTTTACCTCTTTTTTATTACAGTCCATGGTGGACTTGGGCTCCCCCGTGCTCTTTTGTATACACATAACTGTAAAAGGCATAAAATAAAATTGCCTTCTCTTTGTCCCCAGTCACCCACTCTAAATTGTAAAGGACCTACATGCTCAGACCTGATTTATATTACTACTAATATGTTTGAAGAATGTTTTGGGTTTGTCCTACTCTCTTTTGCAACCTGTCATTCATTTGGATTGTTTGCAGCATTTGTAACTTTCAAATTATACATTTTATATTTTCTAAATGCTCTTTTCTTATTCTTTATAGCGTTTTTAACTTAGGATGAGTCACATATTTTTTAAGTGATTGTAAAGCTTTACTTTATATTAAAATAACAAATATGTCGTACTTAACTGCTCTTTGCAGTGGTTTTGCACAGAGCAGCCCTGATCCTGTTCTTCTTGGGCCCCCCAGTGGTGCTCCTTGCTCCTCCTCTTCAGAGAGTGCCCCAAGAGAAAGCCGCTTTCTATGGGGGCACTCATGTGGACTTGCTCCCAAGCCGTCCTGCATATAGAGCAAGGCTCAGCCCCGCCCCAGTTTTTCAGTCAGATCCAATCAGACCATCCATAGCTCTCTATGG